AGGAACAAACAGACCTTCAGAACAGAATTTCAAAGGACAACGACTTTAACATAAGTTTCATTTGTTGCGAACGTCTTAATAATTAAAAAGTAATGGCTACAAATCCACCAAAAAATAGAATTTCGGTTTAGCTATTATGTCATTTCCAATTCCAATATTTCATATAGTTTCTTTCAAACATTCCTTAGTCCCTTTATAATATTTTGTAAACTATTAGTACAATACTCTTACGAGTATCACCTGAAAAAGTAAAAACAGCTGCTCTAAAATGTATTTTATGTTTTATCATCTAACTAATTGTTTCTAAATCGCTGCCCTGGTACTACGTTAATACGCACCTATAAAGATATTTTTAAGCACTCACTGACACCGTTTTCTTCTCAAAATGATACGTCGTGTGTATTTATATTTTGGGCACATTTGGTTTGATGGCAGATGACACATCATTTAATGTAAAACTTTAATATTAAGTATAAAGCAACGTAGCTCACATATATTCTTACTAATAATTTAAACGTTTTACTTAAAGAATATGGCTTTGAGAACTTTCACGCAAAGCACGGTAGATATTAACGTTGAGCCGTTCATGCCATCACTTCCTTCGCATTTTTAGATCAACTGCTGGAAAGTAATAACTGCTCCAAGTATAATGGTGTAAATGTAAGCCCCGTAACGACCTTACCGACAACATAACATATAAATATTGCACTAAGCGAAAATGGCTCCCTCCCTTAACTTCCATGCTTACCTCGTAACAAACAGCGGGTTTTGTTTGAATAATAGAATTCGAGGACTTTGCATTCGAAGTACTGCTATCATTTGTCATTACTCTCGGCATTTAAGTGATTTTAACCCATGAATTATTTATCAATCGCAGCTTTTTATATTTGAACTGCAAAAATACATATTACAAACATTTTTTGCTGACATTTTTACCTTCTAAGGAAGTTAGAATATTCGCAACTCTTCTAGCGTTAATTCCCTATAATATTTAATCTTAATTATTTATTATGTGTGTAATCAATTTAATTGCCATCAACGCCAAAAATATATTATTTGAGTACATAAAGTTATATAGAATAGAAACTCTTTTTTATATTAAAATAGAAATTAATTAAAGAAGGGTTGTATTTAAGTGAACTAGAAGAAATACAATGAAAGTCACTGCTGCAAGAAGCTATACTGCACTCCGATGTTTATAATCAGTTTTCAGCAAGACAGAATGCAGATATGCAAAATGCAAAGGATGCGTCCTTTTGTCTATCTTTTATAGATAGTTTTTTTTTGTGAAGTTCCATAAAACGATACCGACACGTAATATCTTAACTAGTTCAGAATTTTTTTTAAATATGAACATAAGTGGCTAAGTTGTAGTAAGCATTATGTAGTTACTTTCACAGCTGAAGGAGGCACAAAACTATTTTCAGTCTGCATTTAGATGTAATCATGTTGTACCGCAATTCACAAAATAAATCGCATAAAATGAGCAAAAACGTGTGTGCAGATAAAGCCACTTCCTCCTTATACAAGTCATCGTTGTCTCGTTAATTTTGTCGCATCGTTCCTCGCGTAATTATTCTAATGTTGCAGACGTTGTAAGGACTGTGCTGGGGATTCACACAAGTATGTAATTGTAATTTTGTATAATTACCTGTACTACGTAAAGAGTTGAATGCTCGCTTTGTTTACATACCAAAATATTCAGTATTCAGTATAATCCGGAAATAGCTGCCAAGAAAGTAGGTACAAGCGCGTTTTCTTTTATGATTTATGATTTCGGGCAAAGTTTTTGGAGGAATCATAAGAATTTGCACTGCATATACAATGTTCTGTAACTCTTAATGTTGGTTTATTGTAAAACAAACGTTGTGCCAATTTAGTTAATTGCCAACAATTAACTTAATGAGCGCAGTGCCGTTGTGCACAGTAAGAAAAATTGAGTGTCTTTCTTTAACTTGGCTTATAATATTTATGACCTTATGACGCTAACATAAACAACACGCAGTCACATTTGACACCCTTCCACCGCTTTTTGTATCTGTAAGATTTGCAAATATATATTTGGCTGCGTTGTCAGTGCCCCCAAATTATTTCCATTAGTGTCGCCATATTAGTGCCACTAATTTATATCATGTCCCTCTCACACTACAAAATAAATAAAAATTAATAATTTAAGGCTGCTGCTTCCACCCTAATACTTGGGAATTATTGATATATACGTACCAACCTTATTCCAGCTATGACAACAGTTGTTCACTGTTCACTGTTTTAATTTCGTTCGCTCACACCATCTTTGCGACAATAATTTTTTCTGATTGTATTCATTGATGCATTCATTTGACAGAACGTCATTGACCCTGTCCGCATTTTAAATTCACCGAAACCGTATTATATTCATAATCTGAATGAGGCAACAAATATGAACTCTTGGTTCAAGAGTTACATCATATAAGAGTAACAACATATAATTGCAATTGAGTCCTCAACTATAGAAAATAATGACGATAAGATACTTCTGTTCTCTTATAATGCGCTTCTTATATGTCAGAAGATCAATGATATTATGTAGATAGTATTTCTATATTATTATATGGTCAATATTATAAATGTTGACTATATTTACGGCTTTCAGAAAGATAACAGACTGGTAGAGTATTCTCTGAGGAACTGGAAGTATGTGCATATTATAAACTTTCTCGAAATTGCAGCGTCTTTCAACATTTGTTAAATGCTTTTTCTCTGAGTTTTCAATCACGCAATATCATAGACAAATTTGGTGTAGACTCTGGTGTTTAGGCAATATGACTTAGAATTAGCTAGTCAGGCAATATGACTCAGCTCATTTGGATATAAGTATACAGCTAGCTTCATGCAAATATTTTAAAAATCTTCCGTTATTGGAACATTTCAGAAAATTTAATTAATCTTGTTAAATACTTACTTTCATAGTGGATTTGCTCACAGCGTACTATTAAATCAATTTAAGTTTAATTTAAGTTTCCAGAAGGTTTACAACCAATCAAGTTAACCAAATTAACTAATAGACCCACCTAACCTAACCTAATTTTTTCTAGCTTTAAGTTTTATTTTCTAGCCTATTATGGATTAAAACGACTAATTATAAGTAATAATATTTCGCAGAAAACAAAACATTTACTCGCCCAGTAGTAATATATGGCTGCGAGACATGAAGATTAACTGAAACTGAAGCAAGCAAGATAACAGTGTTTGGAAGGAAAATACTCACAAAAACTTTTTTGAAAGAAAACGAGATGTATCGCATGAGATACAACCACAAGCTATAACGGCTAGCTGAAGATGATACAATCAACAAATTTATGAAACAGCAGCAATCAAGATGGGTCGGACATGTGATAAGAATGCTGGATACGAGAGTACCGCTTAAGATTTAAGTAGTAAGCAGCAGAAGAAGAATGCGACCAAGAAAACGATGAAAAAACAGTGTGCAGCAGAATTTAGAAGAAATGAACCTAAGAAATTGGAAAATAAAAGCGAAAAACTGAGAAGAATTGAAGGATATTGTTAAACAGGCTTAGGTCCTACATATACTGTATAGTCCCGGATAATAATGATGAAATTTTTATTTCTGTCACTAGTTTTTAAATATTTTTATACTGTATTGAAATCGCGTTTGAATTTCTTGGTATTCGGAACCTTATCGATATTACTTTTATTTAAAAATTCGATTCTAGAAGTAAGGAGAACGA